CTCTGTTCATCTCCTCCGTGTTCACTGCTCCGTCTGTCTGTCCATCCATCTGCATAGTCATCTCGCCATCTCACCGCCTTTCCAGTGAGATGGATAGCCGCCTGTCCGTCTGTCCTCCTGTCTAGCCGTCCATCCCTCCATCTATCGATCCATTCCTCCGTCCATCCCTCCATCTAGCTGTCCATCCCTCCACCTGTCTCTCCATCTATGTCCATCCATCTGTCCATCCCTCCATCTATCTCTTCATCTCTCTGTCCATCCCTCTGTCTGTCCCTCTGTCCATCCCTCCATCTATCAGTCCATCCATCTGTCCATCCCTCCATCTCTCTCCATCCCTCCATCCATCCCTCCTTCTATCTCTCCATCCCTCTGTCCATCCCTTTGTCTATCTCTCCATCTATCTGTCCATCTGTCCATCTATCCCTCTGTCCATCTCTCTGTCCATCCCTCCTTCTATCTCTCCATCTAGCTGTCCACCCCTCTGTCCATCCCTCCATCTACCTGTTCATCCATCTGTCCATCTCTCAGTCTGTCCCTCCATCTATCTGTCCATCTATCTGTCCATCCCTCCATCCATCCCTCCATCTCTCCATCCCTCTCTCCATCCCTCCATCCATCTGTTCATCCCTCCGTCTCTCCATCTATCTCTCCATCCCTCCATCTATCTCTTTGTCCATCCCTCTTTCTATCCCTCTATCCATCTCTCCTTCTATCTCTCCATCTAGCTGTCCATCCCTCTGTCCATCCCTCCATCTACCTATCCATCCATCCCTCCATCTGTCCTTCCCTCCATCTCTCCATCTAGCTCTCCATCTATCTGTCCATCCCTCCTTCCATCTCTCCATCCTTCTGTCCATCCCTCCATCCATCTGTCCATCCCTCTGTCCACTCCTCCCTCTGCCTCTCCATCTCTCTACCCATCGAGCTGTCCATCCATCTCCTCCTCCATCCCTCCATCCACCCTCCGCGCGCGCTAGCACACCAGAAGCCAGGCGGACCTCTCGCTACGCACACGCGTGTGTGCACACCCCCCCCTTACACGTCTACACGCGTGTGCAAAGCGACCCCTGTGTGTGCTCCTGGCCTGAGGTGCCACCTCCAGGGAGGGACCCTGGTGGCTCCAGGGGGGAGGGGAGGTCCCCGGGGACCTACGCGCCGGCGCACGCCCCCGATGAGTAACGCCGCGGCTGCGGGCGCGCGACGGGCGCCGCCCCGGTACACACCACCACCCCATGCCCAGAGAGGGTGACCACGGTGCAATCGGTGTCACCCGCTGTCCCCAGGGCCACCTGGGGCATCTCTGCCCCGGGGTGGTGGCAGCAGCTGAGGACCCCGGCGTCTCCCGGCCCTTCACGGGCAGATGGGACAGGTGGCCCTGAAGTTCCTCCTGAGCTCAGCGCCGGTCACCAGCCCCCAGCACCTCTTTACGGGAGGTTCAAGCCGTCTTCACCGATGGTTCTCCTCCCGTGGGACATCCACGCTTGAGCTCCGGCTGGTCCTGCAGCGAGAAGGTCCCCAAAGGGATTTTAAGCACCCAGGGGTCCTCTAAAGCCACCCCAGCCTGGCCATCCTTGGCACTGGTGGGGCCAGAGCTCCACCGTGGCTGCAGGAGCTCCAGGGATGGTGTGAAGGAACCTCTGTGCTTCTTGAACGGCCCCTTCTGCAGGGCCTGGAGAGGAGACGAGGCTGGGAGCAGTTCAAGGCAATTAACAGCCTGACGAGCAATTAAGGGCAGAGCGGCCCAGGAGCTGAGCCCTGATGAAAGGAGAGGCCGGGCTGGGATGAATCACGGTTTGGAGATGCTGATCTCGCTCTCTGGTGGTGGCAAGAGGAAACCTGGGGCTGGGTTAGGTCCTAAACCTGGAGGTGAAGCTGGAGCTCCTGGAAGGGCAACTGGCCCAGCAGACCAGCAGAGATCTGGTCTGCGGAGCTCCTCAACGAAGAGGTTGGGACCTTGGGGAGCTCGTCTGTGGAGGCCCAGCCCACGGGGATCTCACCTACCATCCCGCAGAGATCCCATTCCGTGGAATTCTGGTCCATGGAGGCTTCATCCACCAGGCTAATCCATGGTCATCTCCTCCCACGGAGATCTGGTCTGCAGAGATCCCATCCACCAGGATCCCTTCCACCGGGATCCCAGGCTGTGGTGGTCTGGTCCACTAAGAACCCAGTCACAGAGATCTGGTCCGTGGAAATCCCAGCCATGGAGGCCTGGTCCACGAAGATCTGGTCCACAGAAATCCCAGCCATGGAGGCCTGGGCCACAGAAATCCCATTCATGGAGATCTGGTCCATGGAATTCCTGTCCATGAAGATCTGGTCCATGGAAATCCCATCCATGGAGATCTGATCCACAAAAATCCCATCCATGAAGATCCAGTCCATGGAAATCCCATCTATGGAGATCTGATCCACAGAGATCTGGTCCACGGAAATCCCGTCCATGAAGATCTGGTCCACGGAAATCCCATCCATGGGGGCCTGGTCCGTGGCAATCCCAGCCATGGAGGTCCTCCTTGACCTCAGCTATGAGGATCCGGTCCCTGGAGATCTTGTCCACGGAGGGCCAGCTGCAGAGAGCAGCTGTGTGTATCCCACCCAATGGGATCCCTTCTACCGAGCCGTGGTGATCCTGGCGGAGACACGTGGATGGCAGAGATCTCCTCCACCGGGATCCTGTCCATGGAGATGCCACCCGTGACGGGACAGGACATGGCGATCCTGGGTGGCGGACGTCAATTCCGCAAGGCTTCAAGCCATGGGGAACCCATCCTTGGGGAACCCGTCCGTGGGGATCCCCCCTACGGACACCGTGGAGCCATGGAGATGTGGTCCACGGGGATCCCATCCCTGAAGATCCCTGATCCATGAGGATCCCTGACCCCATGGGAACACGAGGGGCCTGGGGGACGTCGCCAGGTGACACAGGGAGCCTAAGGGGAGTGGAGATCCTGGGTGGGGACAGAGGACTTGTGAGGTCGTGAGGGGCCACGAGGTACCGGAGGAGCCATGAAGGGACCATGGGGACACGTGAGGGGACATGGGACACATGAGGGGACACGGAGGCACGCTGAGGGACAGGAGAGCACAAGACCCAAGGGGACGTGGGTGAACATGGGTAACCCGTGAGGGAAAATGGGGGGACACAAAGGGACTTGAGGGGATATGGGGACACCCAAGGGGACAGGGGGGATGCGGGGACACATGTTGGGGACATGGAGGGGACACGAGGAGGACCATAAAGGGATGGGAGGGCACATGGAGGGGACACAAAGACACATGGTGGGGACAGGAGGGGACAAGGGGGGGTCATGAGGGGACAGCGGAGCACATGAGGGGACAGGAGAGGACCCAGGGACACATGGGGAGGTCATGAGGGGACATGGAGGACCATGAAGGGACAGGAGGGCACATGGGGGGGTCATGAGGGGACACAGGGACACATAGAGAGGACATGAGGGGACAAGGGGGGGTCATGAGGGGGCAGAGGAGCACACGAGGGGACAGGAGGGGACATGGGGATACATAGTGGGGACAGGAGGGGACATGGAGGACCATGAAGGGACAGGAGGGGACATGGAGTTGTCATGAGGGGACACATGGAGAGGACATGATGAGACACAGGGGTTCATGAGGGGACAGTGGAGCACACGAGGGGACAGGAGGGCACCCAGGGACACACAGGGAGGTCACGAGTGGACATGAAGGACCATGAAGGGACAGGAGGGGACATGGGGTGGTCATGAGGGGACAGAGGAGCACAAGAGGGGACAGGAGGGGACACAGAGACACATGGAGGGGACATGAGTGGACATGGGGGACCATGAAGGGACAGGAGGGCACATGGAAGGGACAGGAGGGGACACATGGAGGGGTCATGAGTGGACACTGGGGACCATGAAGGGACAGCAGGGGGGACATGGGGTGGTCATGAGGGGACATGAGGGGACACAGGGGGGTCACGAGGGGACAGGAGGGGACACGGGGACACGTGAAGGGACGCGGGAGGGTGGTGGAGAGCCCAGGAGCCCACGGAGGGGGGGACATGAGGTGGG